AGAAATCTTTCTGGCACTGGAGGAAGACCCCTTCCCCAAACCTATCCTCCCTTTTTCTACCCCAGAAAATTCACTGCCTCTGGTTCAATTTTAGCTGGACCCGGACCCCTGTAATGGAATGAGAGGCCCAATAATTCACTGAAATATTAATAGTTCTGATTTTAGAAACTAAATGTTTTTAAAAAGTCCTTTGCTAGTAAAAGATATAGACTATATTTAAATAATTTCTGATGGAATGAGCCCTATGAAGTGCTTGTCATATACATATATAAAGATCATTTTAAATACTAAAGAAATTCCTTTCAAATGGAAAGTTTATCGTTTCCAAGGGGAGGAGGGCAGGAGGGCCGGGGAGGAGGAATGAGGATCTTTCAGGTGAGTCTTCCAATCGCGATAGCTCCTTTTGGTAGCCAATGCCCCCCCACCCCTCCCCCTTCGGTTAATTAAATAAACGCTGGAAGGGAGTGTTTACGGCACAGGACTCGGCCCTTGGGGAGCTCTTTTCCGCGTTGCTCCTTCTGTTAAAAATCCCTAACTCACAGGCTGAAGAGCTGGCACCATGAGTTTCCAGTTCCTGAGGGTGAGAAGGGAGATGTTTGGGTGGAGGGCAGATGCGATTGTGGCCACTGGCCGGGAGGGAGGACAGACGTGTGGATGGACTGGCTGTAAAGGGTGACGATGGCCTCTAGGTGGGACGCGCGCCTGTGGGGGATACAAGGGGTCCCGAGCGCTGCCCCGGGCTGCCTCTCTCGCCCAGGGCTGGCGCAGGAAGAGCATTAGCGCGGCGCAGCGCCGGGCCACAGTGGGCCTCCTCCTCACCTGGCGGCGACCAAGATAAGTAAATTAAAGCCGCCGGGCTTAGCTAGCCTGAAGGTGCAGGTGACTTGGGACACCAAGCTGAGAAGGCCTCCAGGGACATGGAGCTCCCGCTTTAGTCCTGGGGCCTGAGCTCGGAGCGGTTAGTTGCGCTCGGCTGAGCCCAGGGAGGTTAATGGAGAGGTGACAGGCGAACTCTGCAGGCATCTACCTTCCTGCCACCAAGCATGCATGGTCTCTGGCGGGTGGTGGTCCCTCGGGGCAGGGCAAGGGAAAGCCAGGCCTGTCTCTAACGGGTTCCCGAGAACCGCTAGGATGGTATCCTTGAATTCTAGGTAACTGTGACTTTCAGATAAGTTGGACAACTAAAAATTCACCTTTGGTTGCTGTGAAATGGGGCAGATGGTTGTCAGGTTAGAGACTATGCCCAAGAAGTCTCCGTTTGGGGAGCGCTGTAGCAAGCGAGCGCCCGAACTACACCCAGGACAGATGGGCTCCGGCCATACTCGGAAGCTTGGATCCGCTCAGCCTCGCGACACTTTGCCCTTTTATAAAAAGTAAAACATAATGGCCGAGACGCCGCTTTAAGCACGCGGCCTGGCGCGGGACGCGGAGAAACGCTCTGTGCATGGAGTTAGGTCGCACTAAGTCCTGCGGCACCTATGCGTGTGCAGCCGCTGGGTACGCTATTTTAAAAATATGCTATTTACTATTCTCATTATTATTTTGGAGTAATTGTGAATAGACCTCTGCGGTGCCCCAGGCCGTGTATTTTACTAGACTTAGATAGTTCTGGGTGCTTTTTGACACCGAGTATCTTTCCAGTGGTTGCCAGTGTCATGAAGGGAGAGTAGGTGCAGGAATGGCAGCCCTCCTCCCGGATTTTGTTATTGGCCTGGCTTATCCGTCCTGCGCGGTCCCGGCGGGTCTGCCACTGACCGAGGTCCCTACCCGAGCTGGACCTGTTGTTGTCTCGAGAGGAGGGATAGATGGCCGGCGCGTGGAGCGGCGTCTGAGAAGGCGCTCGAGGGCCTGCACCTTGTGCTCGGGCGCCCCCCCCACCCCCCGGGGCGGGAATCAGAGTCGCAGGTCAGCCCTAAGCCAGCTCGACCCGCCCAGCGGCCTTCTTAGGCCCGGTGGGTGAGGGTGGGAGTGGGGGTGGGGGCGGCCGACTCCAGCCTGGGGTCCGGGCGCCGAGTTTCTAGAGGCAACTGCCCGGTCCTCTTAGGAGGTGGCGCACTGCTGTCCTTGCAGACACATGGTCACCTCCTGTGTTTTGGGGGACCATCCCTCAACTCCTAACGGGCTGGGGCATGGGGCCAGGAGCTTCGAGAGCGTGAGCGCAGACTCCCTAGGGGGCGGCAGAGGCGAGCCCCGGTACACCTTCCGCCCCCGTAATCCTGCTTCCGCTAGGCGTGTAGCGAGGCTGGCCTCGGATCCTTACTGTTAGGTGGCTGTGAGGCCTCCGGAGGTCCTCGGGGGGCACCCTTCCCGAGGCGCACGCAGCCTGTGCGCGGAGCCACGAGGTGTTACGTCCTCACGTGGGCAAGGGGCGGGGACACTGGAGGGAGGTCTGTCTTGGGTGCCCGAGCCATTGGTTCCCTGCTGTCGGTGGAGAACAAAACTTGAGCTCAAAGAAGGGCTGAGGTTTCCAGCACCCTGGCAAGGGCACGCGCGTGCCTGGGTCCGGCCCTGAAGCCGAGGGTGTGCGTGTTTGGGCAGGGTCTCCCGTGCCGAGAAAAGCGAGGAATTGTTCCATTTGTTCCCTCTCCGGTGCGCCGAGGTTGCCCTCTAGTTGAGGGCGTGCCCCTTGTAGAGGGACCAGAGCCAGGGGTCCAGGGCTATACTTCAGGAATGAATGGCCTTTGCCAAGTATATCCGAACCCTCTGGATCCTTGGGAGTTCCCCAAGTGGCGGAGCACGGACCCTTCGTGCCCATTGGCTCCCTTCCTCTCCTCCGGACGCTCCCGGGCAGTGAGAAATCTCCGTTCCTCCGGGCAGCGTCGGTGGGAGCTGCTGCGAGAAGGAAGGACAGCAGGGCTTGCGGTGAGGGGCGCGCACCTTCCAGGCCCCAGCCTGCGGGGGATAAAGTTGCCGCCACAGACGTGACAACTTGCTCAAGTTGCACCCCAGACTGAGTCTTGGAATAAAACCTAGGGCTCTGAGGCTCAGTATTACAGAGCTCAGCGTCACCCGTCAGGGAGTCCGACGCTCCCGAGGGAGGCGCCACAGCCTCCCTCTCGCGAGAGCCTGGGACCCCTGTGGCCCGCGTCCCGCCCGGGTTCGATTTTTGCGTCGCGCAGGTGTCCTTCTCCCTTAATAATACTGGGAACGCTGCTTCCGCAGTTATTTTTAAATTTTATTTACTGTAGACCATGTGTTTTGAAAGTGAGCTGTCAGGGTTTTGTGTTAAAAATATACTATCCTCGGGCTGCGCCTGTGGCTCAGTGGGTAGGGCGCCGGCCCCATATACCGAGGGTGGCAGGTTGGAACCCAGGCCCGGCCAAACTGCAACAAAAATACCCGGGATGTAGTTCCCAGCTACTGGGGAGGCGGAGGCAAGAGAATCGCCGAAGCCCAGAAGTTGGAGGTTGCTGTGAGCTGTGACGCAATAGCACTCTATCGAGGGCGATAAAGTGCTCTCCCTATATAAAAAAAAATACATTGTTCTCGGTGCTTAGTGTAAAGCCCCCGAAGATACGCTTGACCCGAAGTCCCAGTGATTTCAACTTAAAGATTTTATTCTCCCGTCTCGTCAGAAAATCACCTCGGATTTGACTACTAAGGGAGGATGACTATTTTTATTTCAGTTATTTCTGTTAGACCCATCTGGGTGTAAATAAATGCCAACGTTCAAACAAACCCGGGGGGAAACAGGGAGGCGGTTAACACCACCATTCTATGAATGGGGGGGGTGGGGTCAAGTCCACTCCGGGTTGAGGGTGCTGATAGGCATTGATTATTGCGAAATCGGACTCAGAATCAAATAGAAAGTCCCTCTCCTTCAGTCCCCTCAATTTAAAAATTCAGCCCGGGGAGCCAGTTGGGGCGTCCAAACCAAATTTGCCCTTGAAAGTTTAGCAACTTTCAGCGTACAATGAAGAGAGCAATTATTGTATGATCATTGGGCCAATGGATTTCGTTTAATTTTTTTTTAATTAACAGTGCATTCTGCTTTCGAGTCTGGCTGGCAAGTACATAGGTGGGGGCAGGGAGGCTGCGTTTATGTGGAAGGTTCCGTTTTCTGCCTCCACCTGTGGAAAGGGGGTGTCCACATCTGCAGCCGCGGCCTCTCTGCACCCCTCACCCCGACATCGCCCGCGGCGCTCTTGGTTTATTCTTTGCCCGACCCTTCCTTCCCAGGCTGAGTTGAGGCTTCTAAGTGACTGCCTCGCCGGGAGGCAAGTGCCCAGCCTGCGTTCCCCAGGGCAGGGCAGGGTAGCGGGCTGGACCATGGAGCGCTGGTGCCCCCCGGACAGCAATCAGCTGTGCAAGATACAGCTGCGGGCGACAGCGGCGAGACGCCTATGTCCCCGACTTCTGGACCAGTAGAAAGGTCTGCTGCCTCCGCGGTGCTTGGGGCAAACTCCCTAGAAGGCCTTTCCTCCTCCCCACGCTCCTAGGGGCTGGGATCGCGCTGTTTCGGCAGAGGGAAGAAGGGGGCCTTTGTGGCGAATTAGGGCTTCCGCTGCCTGATCCCAGTCTCTGATCATAAATGGGGTGGGTACGTGTTGTTAGCAGTTAAGGGGAGCCCCCGCCCCCAGCTGTTCAGACACCTGCCGAATGAGGAGTTTCTTAACACCAGGTGACATCCGTCATTTGGAAAATAAGGTGAAGCCTCTTTAGGCGAAAGAGAGAGGCTCTTCGTTACTTGAATCCCAGTCCTCAGCTTTGCCAATCTCAGGTGTGTGCAAGGTGGGGGTGGCAGCAGGCAGGCTCGTCGGGGTACGCAGGCTTCGCAGGTCTGAGGCTGTCAACGAGGTACCGCCCACTGACTCGCCTGCTCGCCCCTAAAAGCGTGGGGCTGGGCGCGGCGCCAGGCCGGGGGTATGGGCGGAGCGAGGCTGGGACTGGCTGGGGGCGGCCCCGCCCGGCGCCGGGGCCTTCGCGCGGGCCCCCGGGGAGGAGTTATGATAATTTCCTTCTCATTAAGCGCTCGGGTCTCCCGGCTATCGCCGGGACGCACAGTTCGGGCGCGGCTTTCCCGGTTCCCGGCAGCGGCCTCCACACTTGCGGCGGGAGCATCTACCATCTCAGAGACGCCGATGCGCGTCCAGTGACTCGGCCAGCAAGGCCTGCGCGCGGCCGGGGCAGCGGCACACGCCTGGTCACCGTGACCCCGATTTTGGATTTACCGCTCGGGGGGTGGGGGGAGCCTGGATTTAACTGGCGACTGTTTTGGGGGACGCCGGACGCCATGTTGTGGAAAATAACCGATAATGTCAAGTACGAAGAGGACTGCGAGGTGAGCTGGGGCGCAGGGGCGCAGCCCCGCCCGACGAGGACAGTCCGGGAGGCCGGGGCCACTGCACTGAGGTCAGGGACCGGGGCGCAGGAGCTCTGGTCTGTTGGTGGGACGGGAACCACTTGGACACCCCTTAGTCCATTTTTCCAGGCCCCTCTTCCTATATCGGGCTTTTTACTAAATATCCAGCCCTCGGGAACAAGGCCTGGGAAGAGAATGGCATATCCCACCCACAGAGCTTACCGGTCGGTTTCATAAGAAGCAAACAGCCTTTCTTCCCGTTTTCTCGGAAGAGTCACCCAGTCTTCAATCCTTAGACGTGGCTTTTGCACACGAAGTCTAGGTCCAAAGGGGTCAAGTGAGGCTGCCGGCGACACCTTAGCGGAGTCTGCTCCGAGACAGGCTTGTCACCTGCCCCGCTACCTCCTCGGGGAAGCACGAAAACAACTGAAGTTTGGCTTTCAAGAGAAATGGGGGCTGGGAGTTCTGGGGGGGCGAGGCCAGATGGGGCCGTAAGCGCTCCCAAGTGCTCCAGCCTGTCGGACAGGTTGAGCTAGAGTTTCGGAGAGTGGGAGGGAGGGAGGCGGCGAGCGGGAAGAGGAAGAAGACGCAGGCGGCGGAGGCGAGCTCCAGGGCGCTTGGAGAGGGGAGCCCGAGCCGCGGAAACGCTGGAGCTCGCTGTGCCTCGGGAACCTCGAGGGGCTGCCCCTGCTTGCAGGGCCTGGCACTTCCGCTAGGGGGCGAGAGTGCCATGTATCTCCTGGTTCCCGGCTACCCACCCCTGTGACCCCCTAGGCAGAAGGAGGCAAGGCGTTTAGAAGTTAAGTCGGGCAGCCTTGGGGCGAGGGGACATACGCGGGCGAGGTTGCCCAATTTTGAGGGCGCTGCAACATTCACCCCCTGCGCCCCGATGTGTGGGGACACGGACGGCCGCGCAGGGCACGGCTAGCAGGGAGGACAGCCCGAACCACATCAGATTCCCTCTCCAGCCTCCCGGGCGGCGGCGGGTGGCAGGCACTGCCTGGGAGCACCACCCGCCCGGAGGTCTTTGTCCCGAGGGCGTGGACGGGAGGGCCCCTGGGGCGGGGGAGATGCGCGCTTACTCCGCTGCGCCCTTTATCCGCACGGGTTCCGCCCCGGGCCCTTCTCGCCGCGCCGCTCCAGCATGTGCGGGCTGGTGAGCGACCGCGATCTGCACGGAGGGCGCTTCATGCCGACCTACTCCTCCGGCCCGGGCTCCCGTTTTTCCCGGCCCAACATCTGGGATTGGGGCTTGGCGCCTCTGAACGCCTCCCGCGTCCGAGCGCTCAGACCTTCGCCGCCGGGCTTTGAGGACTCGTACCCCCAGGTCTTTCACCAGCCTTTCCTTCGCAGGCTAGAGGTTTACAACGAAATCCCCGGGGCGCATTGCCCCTGGGTGCTTTCCGACTAGGGCACGAGCGCCGCGCGTGGACCAAGGCGGCCTCCCTGGGGCGCCCCGGCCAGTTCGCGATAGCGGGGTTTCGCCCTAACGGGGTTTCCCATTTTCCTTCCCCAGGATCGCCACGACGCGAGCAGCAATGGGAACCCACGAATCCCCCACCTCTCCTCGGCCGGGCAGCACCTCTACAGCCCCGCACCGCCACTCTCCCACGCTGGAGTCGCCGAATACCAGCCGCCACCCTACTTTCCACCCCCCTACCAGCAGCTGGCTTACTCGCAGTCGGCCGACCCTTACTCACATCTTGGGGAGGCATACGCTGCGGCCATCAACCCCCTGCACCAGCCAGCGCCCGCCGGCAGCCAGCAGCAGGCCTGGCCCGGCCGCCAGAGCCAGGAGGGAGCGGGCCTGCCCTCGCACCATGGGCGCCCGGCCGGCCTGCTGCCCCACCTATCCGGACTGGAGGGAGGTGCGGTGAGCGCCCGCAGGGATGCCTACCGCCGCTCTGACCTGCTGCTGCCGCACGCGCACGCCCTGGACGCCGCGGGCCTGGCAGAGAACCTGGGGCTGCACGACATGGCGCACCAGATGGAGGAGGTGCAGGTGAGCAGCGCCGCGCCTCCGCGAGGACCTGTTTGCCCCTCCTTTCTTCCCCATCCCTGGCCCCTCCAGGCTTTCCGCACTTAAAGGAAATTTTGTCATTTACCCCCTCAGAATGTCGAAGACCAGCATTTGCTGCTGCATGATCAGACTGTTATTCGCAAAGGTAAATAAATGATCTTTTTTTCCCCTCTGGCCACACGCAACCTGGACTTGCTAGGTGGGGGATACTTGGTGGCCAACGTGGGACATTTGTGATGGGAGGTGCTGGTGGGGACACAGGCAAGGCTTTAGGAATGAGAGGAGGGAATTTCTGAAGGACAATTCCTCGAGTTGTCTCTTAATCCCCAGATTTGTTACTGCCTAGTTCACTCTTGAGAAATGTTACTCCGGAGACAGTTTTACAAGGTTAGAGAAAGTTCTTCAGAGCGAGTTAAGGTTGATTTAATTTTAAAAAAGGAAAAAAAAAAAAAAAAGACGCACCACCATAGTTGAGGTGTTGGTTGTGTGACAGTTTTAATAGTGGAATGAGTTGCGATTTTTATTTTTGATTTCAGACATGGTTGTGGGAAAAGGTTTTTAATTTTGAACGCAAGAAAAGTTTTGAAACGGTTTGGCCTACTGAATTAATAGAGCTGGAGTGATCTGTCAGGTGGGAGTGTGCAGGATTGGAGAGGGGGGATTTGGAAAATTGGATTACTTGATGTGTGAGTGAATCATGAAATTAAGTTACATACTGACAGAATTACTAGTCTGCTTTTTTTGGTGAAATGTAGTGGATCTAAAGGTTGTTCTGATCTGTTACTTGAAATTGAATTGCTTAAATAGATTGGGGAGATGGATTTTGAAGAAAAGCTTGGAAAATAAAGTAGATTTTTCAGTAAGCTTTTGGCAGAATGGGTTACTTTGTATTTTTATATTTACTGTGATCAGTTGCACTGAAGGGTTTTGGCAGAGGATCTGAATATGTCCTGTGGTTTTGGGGTATTTCTTGAGTCAGAAAAGCTCACCATTTATTTAGTATTAAAGCAGGCGTCTGGAAAAAAAATTCTAATTAAATAGTTTCAGCAGTGGTTAGGAAATGAAAAAAACCTGCAAGCGTGGGATCTTGACTAATTAACTTCCCAAGGTGTTAACCTGTGAACTTCAGATTCAGTTTTTCTTGAAAGAGAATATGGCTTTAAAAAACCAAAGGCTGCTTGGACTTTATAGTCTAGCATGAAATGTTATTTGTCCAAAGTTCTCTTTCAGCTGTGGTTAGTGGTTTTGAAAAAGTCTTTGGCTTGGAGGTGGCTCTCCCGACTGATGGTTCTGACCTCCACTCACTCACAGGTCCTATTTCGATGACCAAGAACCCTCTGAGCCTCCCTTGTCAGAAGGAGCTGGTGGGAGCCGTGATGAATCCTAGTGAGGTCTTCTGCTCAGTCCCTGGAAGATTGTCCCTGTTAAGCTCCACATCTAAATATAAAGTAACAGTGGCTGAAGTACAGAGGCGATTGTCCCCTCCTGAATGCTTAAATGCCTCATTACTGGGAGGTGTTCTCAGAAGGTACCAGGGGACCCATTCTGGGCAGGGTGGCTGGGTAGTTGAAGGTGAACGTATAAAAAAGGGCTGAGAGGTATTTTTAACACTTATGTAACTTTATGCCTAACACTGAATTCTAATCGGCTCACAGAGAGATCTTAGTACAATTCTTTTCTTTTAGAAAGTGCCAAATGAAGAAGGCAGTGCTAAAACAGTGCTAACACGTTATCATTTGGTTAGAATTTGATTCCACGTATGAAGTAGCATTTGCACGGAAGGATGGGGGAAGTGGATGGGAGACGCACCAGGGATTTTGTTAACCTGGGGGTTTCTGTGGAGCTGTTTGTGTGCACTTTTGTAAGTGAATATTTGTCTGCTCTGATACCATTCAGAATGCTTTGTGATTTAAAGAAGAAAACCGTTGATCGTGCTAAAAAGTTTTTGATTTTTGAATTTTGTAGGGATTAATTGAAGGACCATACCTTGTGTCTCCTTTTTTTTTTTTTTTTTTTTTTT